ATGCATCTCGGAGGTAGAACGAATGAATTCCCCAATCCGCTACTTCTGTTCCCCGCTAAGCTACAGGTTAATTAGTACAGCTCTTATTTATATGGCAGTGAATGCTGGACAATCTCCTCACAGATGAAGAAGAGACTTGAAGCAACAGAAACAAAGAAAAGAGAGCTGAACTGTTATGTAATATCAGTCCTCCTATATGGCAGTGAATGCTGGACAATCTCCTCACAGATGAAGAAGAGACTTGAAGCAACAGAAACAAAGAAAAGATAGCTGAACTGTTATGTAATATCAGTCCTCCTATATGGCAGTGAATACTTGACAATCTCCTCACATATGAAGAAGAGACTTGAAGCAACAGAAACAAAGAAAAGAGAGCTGAACTGTTATGTAATATCAGTCCTCCTATATGGCAGTGAATGCTGGACAATCTCCTCACAGATGAAGAAGAGACTTGAAGCAACAGAAACAAAGAAAAGATAGCTGAACTGTTATGTAATATCAGTCCTCCTATATGGCAGTGAATGCTGGTCAATCTCCTCACAGATGAAGAAGAGACTTGAAGCAACAGAAACAAAGAAAAGAGAGCTGAACTGTTATGTAATATCAGTCCTCCTATATGGCAGTGGAGGCTGGACAATCTCCTCACAGTTCAAGAAGAGACCTGAAGTAACAGAAATATGATTCTACAGATGGATGCATAGAATAGCATGTACTAATCATGTAAATAATGAGGAAGTTTTAGAGAAAAATAGAAATAAAAGGACATTTATATTTAGAAACAGAAAGAGATAGCTGAGGAAAGAGAGTTTGGAAAATTTGGTACTCACGGAGCATGCTGAAGACAATAAGAGACAGAGAAAAACTTCTGCAAATATTCTACCTCATGAGCTTGTGTAAATGGTTGGCAGAACAGGGGTTAGGAGAGATTGTGTTATAATAATAATAATAATGGACTATTCCTGACATTATAAATACTGGGCCTCTCAAGAGGTATGACGAGATTGTAAGACGAGGAGAGATAATTGAGAGCATATTGTAAGGACATTGGAATAGTGATATTTGTCGAGACAACATAGTTCACTCTAACCAAATCTGATAGTCATTACTAATACTTCTACTTCTTTGTATTATATTTCTGTTGTAATATATCTTTGTATTCTATAACTGTGTTCGCGTTATTCTTTCATTGGTTCTAACCTTGAACCATCACCGTGGTACAAGAAACTTGGACCATAACAAGTGGCGACAAGGAAACCCTAGAAAAAAAAAAATTAACTCTCTACTAATCTTTTGCTATCCGTCGCACATAACGTGGCGACGAGGTAATCCAAGAAACCAACTCATAACGAAGGACATTGGAATCACCGTGGTACAAGGAACTTGGACCATAACAAATAGTAAAAAGGCAAAATTTACTAAGAGTTACAAATGACAGGCAATTTTAGAGGGCCATGATCAACTACGATGTGAATGGACAAAGCACATAGAAAAAGAAGAATTTTGCATCGTTAAGGAAATTCAGTATTATCGTTAAGAGACAGGATTTCTTAGTAGGTCTAAAAAGCATGTGTTAAATGTATCTCTCTCTCTGAATATACAGTAGAAACTCCCACATCCGGAATCCCTCATATCCGTAGTGCCTCATATCCGGAATCCTGCATGTCCGGAATCCCTCATATCCGCAGTGCCTCATATCCGGAATTCCGCTTATCCGGAATCCCTCATATCCATAGTGTCTCATATCCGGAATCCCGCATATTCGGAATCACTCATATCCGTAGTGCCTCATATCCGAAAACCTGCATATCCGTAATCCCTAATATCCAGAATCCCGCATATCCAGAATCTCTAATATCCGGAATCCCGCATATCCGGAATCCCGCATATCCGTAGTGTCTCATATCCGTAGTGTCTCATATCCGAAATCCCGCATATCCGGAATCCTCATACCCTTATTGCCTCATATCCGAAATCCCGCATATCCGAAATCCCGCATATCCGAAGTGCCTGAAATTCGAAATCCCGCATATCCTGAATCCCTCATATCCGAAGTGCCTCATATTCGGACATGATTTTGATGTGTATATTTGAACTATTTGTGTGATATGTAACTGATTTTGAAATTCTGTTTTTCAGGAAATTTATTTGGATAATTACTTATGCTTATTTCATCCCAATGGTTTGTATTGACGCAAAAGATGATGGGAATAAGAGGAAAAGAACAACTTTGGAGTTATCGCAAAAAGTGGAAATTTTAAACAGACTAGCCGCTGTTGAAAGTTCATTGTAACTAATGGATGAGTTCAACATAGGAAAGTCAATGTTGTATGATATAAAATCTTCGAAAGAAACTATTCTCCATTGTTCACACTGTCACAATGAACAAGAAAATAAAAACATGATTGTGATGAAACCTCGACTGAAATTGAAAAAGCTATTGAAAAGGTTGTCAGTTCTATGGAAAGAAGGCCAGCATTCAGCTAAGACAATTGCAATAACACACGCAGAGTTAAAAAGTTGGTCTCTTTTAAAAGATATTTAAGACAAAAGCAAAACTAAATGCGCAAAATGTTGAGAATGACATTAGAAGAGAAAGAATCATCATGCAACAGCGATTAAAAAATCCTTGTTACATTATTTGTTTTGCATATGTGGCAAACTTAATTTAATGAATTTTCATTCACATGACATAATTTATTTCTTTTTCCTAAAAAGCAATTCCGTTATATATCACTCACCATTAGCTTCTTTTGTTTACTATAAAACATTGAAAATAAATGTTAAACCTGATATTAGTTCTTTTAATCTAATTATATCCCCTCATATCCGGACTTTGTAAACAATTCCTTCTTAGTCCGTTTGTCAGGGATTCTACTGTATATTATTTAAGTTTAACTCTATCAGCTCTTCCTGCTTTGTCGAAACGTCTCCCAAAGGGATGGTTACCAGATCGGTGAAATGGTAACCTGTTAATACCTGGGTTTAACCATTACCTTGCGCACATATTCCCATAAATTTCGCTCCTTATTCAGTCACTCTCTGCCTCGAGTGGCTCTTGGGCCATTTTGCAGTGTGAACATTATTGTAAAAGTAATTACTAATTAATATTGTGCAGTTAGTGTACATGGTCTATAAAGCTCTCTCACTCTCCATATATATATATATATATATATATATATATATATATATATATATATATATAGATAGATAGATAGATAGATAGATAGATAATATTAGTGGTAAATATACGCATGCGTATGCAATCATATATCTAAAATATATAAATATATATACATACATACACATACACATATATTTGTATAGAAAAAATAATTCCAAGAGGATAGAATCCAGGTAGAACTCAATGTCCAAGACAGAGTAAGGATATAATAAAAAGACCCAAACACTAATATTCCATGCTCATAATTTATTCCATTGGAATTGTAAATACGATCCAATTCATTCAATTTGTAGGTCTGATGAATTGGATCGTATTTACGATTCCAATGGAATAAATTATAACTATGGAATATTAGTGTTAAAAGCCTTTTATATATATATATATATATATATATATATATATATATATATATATATATATATGCCTGGTGAAACAGCATAATTATCCTCCTCACAAAATGTTTACTATCGAAAAAACCACGTGTTTCTTTTTTGTAGGTTTTCAGATGTGACATTTAAACATTTTGACACCATTTTCCGTAAGATTCACCAAAAAACCCTTTGAGTTATTCAGCTAGAAAGAGAAGAGGTTAAAATCATTTTGCGTCAGCCCCAATATGTCTTCCCAACTGATCAATAGTGAGAGGAAAACGATCATTCAGGCCTTCTGTAATGGTGCCAACATTCATACTCTGGCTTCCATCTTCAAAGTCCATTCATGAACCATCAAAAGAACGATGAATAAGTTTAAAAAGAGGAAACTTGAGAGGAAACCTGGATCAGGAGATGACAATAAATAAGAACGTGGATTATCTTAGAGCTAAAGTATAGAAAAAATCTGCATCGGGGTAACAACAGGAAAAGGGATTATCATTTCAAACTTAGAGCGAAAGAGATTAAATAGAAAAGAACCAACTTAATCCATAAGATGTTTGTAATTTTAGCTCTGACAGGAATTTCAGCTATGAGAGGAATTTCAGCTATGACAATCCAAAGAGCAGTGAAAAAAGACTTGAAAATAAAATCGTACGGGAAACCTATGAGGCAACATGTTCCAGAACTCCAGAAGGGCAAAGATCATCTTGAGTATGTTGAAAAATGGTCTGGCAAAATAAAATATATATATATATATATATATATATATATATACAAGGTCGACGTAAACGAGTAACTAGGAAACCGACAGGCTGACAAAAGATTTTTAGAGTGGTGAAGGAATTCAAGTTTTACAGAGACCTGGTGCAAACAGTGCCACAAGGTCCTTAAAAGACCAGATTTTGAATTCAGAGTTTTTCCTTCTCCTAGACCATGCCATCCAAGGCTATAGAACCCAGTCTGTCCTGCTATTTACCCATAGCTGGAGGGAGAAAGAGGATTCGCACCTTTCCCAAGGGTATTAGCACGTAAGTGAATGTAATGGACTCGACTGGCTCTCCGATTCCTCAATCCAAGCCGCTAACCATTACTCCATCGTGCCGCATATATATATATATATATATATATATATATATATATATATATATTTATATATATTCCATATATAAACTTTATATTATTCCATCCAGCTATGATTAATTAATGATGAACAAGTCATTTTCGTTTTTGATCGATTTCCTCACGATACTTCTGTTACGCTTCGAGAGTAATTATACATTCTGATTGCTCAGAGTCGAGTCCCATAGTGTTATAAAAACCTCGAATTTTCCAGTAAAATATCTTTAATCATTTCTAAAATACAATGGTTCAAATTTTAATCTAACGATTGGACAATTTGCTGTTAAACAGCGTGTGTATACATACATACATATATATACATACATACATACATATATATATATATATATATATATATATATATATATATATATATATATGTGTGTGTGTGTGTGTGTGTGTGTGTGTGTGTGTGTGTGTGTGTGTGTGTGTGTATCCCTTATTGGTCAGAGTTGAATTAGAGCAGGAAAAAATCTACTGAATGAAAGATTAGAAATAATGATACGATGCATAGACACTACTAAAAAATTCCTTTTGATTTCCAGCCCAGGAGGATGAAATTATGTTCATTGCATTTAATACCCATCCAATACAATTACAATACTCCCCACCCCACACTATGCTACTAACTTGTTACGATCACGTAGTTCGTTTATTCATAAATAATAAAACGTTAAGACATCATCTGGCCTAAATCGCCGCAGATACCAAGTTTGAAATTAACGTGAATGACTGATCTCCTAATTTTTAAAGTATATATATATATATATATATATATATATATATATATATGTATATAATTGAACACTTAGATGTGACAGTCTGTTTCCATGTTCACTTTTATATTTACACACGCTCTATAACTGATATTGAGCACTTTATCCCATAAATATAGCACATCTTATGACTATATATTTATTTATATATATATATATATATATATATATATATATATATATATATATATATATATATTCTGTTTATATGCTATTTTTTATAGATAAAATTTATAATTTATTTGGTTAAATGATATTTTTTTTTTTAATTAAACAGTAAAGAGAATTTTTTGTAAATATATTCTTGGGGTCTACTTACTTCTGCGGCACAACTCTTTCTTTCTCTCTCTCTCTCTATAATATATATATATATATATATATATATATATATATATAGGAATTCTTTAGAATATATATATATATATATATTTATATTTATATATATATATATTTATATTTATATATATATATATATTTAGGAATTCTTTAGAATATATATGTATATATATATATATACATAGCATAATGAGAAGCCACGTATACTTTCTTAATATGTATATGAATAGAAAAAGTTAAAAAATAATGTTTTATTTTATAATCTATTTATATATATAAACCTATTTTATCTATTTCAAATTTTCCTCGTTTTCATCATAAATCCCATTCTGTCAATCTTCTCAGTTTGACTATATATATATATATATATATATATATATATATATATATATATATATTTAAGATATGCTATATTTGTGAGTTAATTCCTTGTTTCTTTTTTAGTACCGTGTTTTTTTAAATAATTTTATTCTCTTTTTACTCTCAGTCACCCCTTGTGTCTTAGTGGCATTATCGCTTTGCTTGCGGGTGGATTGATTATATATATATATATATATATATATATATATATATATATATATATATATATATAATCAATTATATATATATATATATATATATATATATATATATATATATATATATATATATGGTGCTGTTGTGGATGAGTGTTGGGGGTGTCAGCTGCTGGGGATGTGAAAATCTGAACACTTGAAGTCAGCACGTCAGCTACCGAAGTACGTTTTGCAGTGTCATAGGCGATGTACCAAGCAATCCGTTGCGGCAAATAAATTCGATAAGACCTCCGTAACTCAATTGAAACGGTTTTATTTGTGAAAAGACATTTTATTCTATTGTCTTATTGCCGTGAAAAACTTAGCGAGCAGATTAAACAAACAAATTCATTTATCTTTAATTATACGTACACGCCGAACATTCGTAGATATACCGGTAAACATGTATACCTTAAGAGGAGAGATAAAAGAAGTAATAAAAAAAAGATGAACAGAAAGTAACAAAAAAACAAAAAAAAGAGAAAAAGAAAAAAGGCAGTTTTGTTACACGTGCAATGGGGCAGGAAATGAGACAGGCGTGTTGATTTGCGCAACGGCAAAGAATCAGGTTTAGAGGCGGGCAAAGAATTGTAAATTAATTTTCGCAGATCATTCGTTTATTAGATCATATAGAAGTCAATAAGAACGTTTTATCTACCACCTTTTTATAGAGGATCTTTGCTTCTCCCTCCTCTCTGACTATGTCTCTCTCTCTACCACACACACAGATTCTCTATATATCCCTCTCTATCTCTATCTCTCTTTCATATATATATATATATATATATATATATATATATATATATATATATATATATATATTAGGTTGTTTAAAAAATAATGACGTAATGATGTCGTTTTTGACGTTAAAAAAATACGTCAAAAACGACATTATTACGTCATTATTTTGCACCAACCTAATATATATATACTTTTCAAATATATACCTATTTCAGTTTTTTTCTATTTATCTAACAATCTCAGTGTGTTTATAGTCAATCAATCGAACCTCATTTGCTCACATCTATCTATCTATCTATCTATCTATCTATCTATCTATCTATCTATCTCAGTCTTTTATCTATCTATCTACCTATCTATCTATCTATCTATCTGATTCTCTTCTTCATTTCTTCCCCCACCCTCTGTCTATTTATATA